TGGTCACTAACCAGCGCATCCGACTGAAATCCAAGTTCGCATTAGTCCATATCATCAACCATCTTGGCGAGCAGCCGGCACATGCTCGTTAAATCCGACTCCAGCAGAAGAATATGGGATTCAGCTCTTTGAAGCTCCTCAGCAACAATAGTGTTAACATTATTAAGAGAATCACCAGAAACGGACATGCTTGGGCTATACGATTTAGGTACCAACGATACGAAGCCTTAAGTAAGTACCCGTACGAAACCTAAACTAGACACTCCGAACTAATTAACCTAGACCTAACACAGTCTGGGCAGAAGAATAAAACGAAGTATCCTGTAACCGTGCTTCTGTAAGGCAAATTAAATACAGTACATGACTTACGAATTGGTTTTTCAATCGTCGTACAGGAGGGCAGATATTGTAAATTGGGAGGGGGGGCAGCGTGCGGACAATTTGTGCCATGTCACAGTAATAGAGTCATATGGATGACCTTGAAACGTCAAGGATTTGCCAGTGATCGAGAGAGAAAGGAATAAATATTTAAGATGGTAACCGATTGTTGCACACGGAATGAAAACAATGTAAAGTGGACAGAATAATTAGGGAACAGAGATACCGTGTACTCAAGTAAGCAATCCAGGTTGGGGAATACATTAATCTTCCCTTTGGACTTTACACAGTCATCGGAACCAATCTCATCGCATTGTGAAACTGGCAGGCGTAGCTTACGCACGCCAATATGAGTGAAAATTGCTAGCGTTTGCCAAATATCTTTAGAGGTTTGGCGTTTCAGTCGACCAGTATATCAAATCAGCATTGTGTACGTTGATTCATTAGACTTCCCTACGCTTATTTGCTAGCTGCACGCTACTCAGCAACGCATCGATGATGTCACCTCGATTGGTGACGAGTCGTTTGCAAGAAACTTGCCAAGCTCGGCGAACAGATCGCCTGGCGTCATTTGTCAGACATCCTCAGAGCTTTGGCGTGTCAGTTGACATTTACTTCGAGTCAGCTTTGTGGAACTTGATTCATTAGGTTAATTTGGCACCGGAAAGAACGTAAAATAACCTTGATCTCAATGGCTTAAAGTGGACTCTTCCACGTAAGTGGATAGTTCCACAGTTGTGTTTTCAAGGAGCTGACCGAATGGATCTATGCATCACAGTGTTTCAAAATGTCACGGCTGACTGATTTTCAAACCCAAGTTTTATGGTATGCAGTCTTCTCGAATATTTCATTTGGGACGTTTGTTATGCCGGTAGGGTGCTAACCTTTTCTCCTCACTCATCGTCGTTTGATCAGTTACAGGTGGCTTTGGTGATTGTTTTCGTGGCAGCTCTTTTTTTCTTCCGTAACGTTTTTTCTGTCATATTTTGTGTGACTGTCAGGTTCTTGTTTTCCGTTCCAGAATAGCGACCTCACAAATGCAAATATTGTGAGAAAACGTTGCCTCTTATGAAGCATGTCCGGATTCACGAGCGGTCTGTTCACTTGAGTGAGTAAGGTGTTGAATGCAATGTGGCGTGCAAGCCACTTTGCATTGGTAGCGACTGAAGATCCGAGTAGTTTGTGTGCAATACTTCGGTTTGTTTCAAGTTGGTTCGGTTTGTATCATCAGCCGCCTTCTTGGTCAGGCTACGTCTCGAGCAGGGAGGTCCGTGCTTTGCAGAGGACGTCAATACCAACCTTAAATCGTGCACATGGGCGAGAGACCGAGCCAGAAGCACAAAAACGATCGCGTTTCGGCCGTCAGCCTCTTACGGAGTATTTAAACATACTGATCATGGTTCAACATGCAACACATGAGTGGTAAGAAGTTCAGAAGCAGTGATGCAATTGAACTGCCGTCGAAAGTGCTCCGCCTACGGGGCCATACGACGATCCTTATTGTGAGTAGTGCACCCGCTCTGGCTCAGATTGTCTCAATGACGCTTGATTTCTTGGGAGCAATGATGCGTATCAGCTGGAAGAGCTTGCGATAATTGCGTTCTGTTTCTGCTTCCGCTATCACTCGTGCCCAACTGATTCTCCAGACTGCCTTGTCAGCGCACAGACTGCGCTTTTGTACACGTCTAACTGTCCGTCTGGTCATATTGTGCCCAGCTAGCCGGGAGTTTCCTTCTAGATTCTAACAGGTTCACTGAT